ATGACTGCCTAACTCACTTGGTTCTGACAGCCTCCTGGACACCGAGTTCTAACAAATAATCCATACCCTGATAATATTATACCTCCCCAGTTCTTGTCCCCATTTGCTTCAACTTGTTTCTATTACTTTCAGTTGAGAGTCTTTTTTTTTTTTTTTTTTTTATTACTCAATGTCAGTCTGCATTTGGGATGTCTTAAAAGTAGATTTTTCTCATTGCCCTCACGTTCCCTTCTTGAAATCCCATATTTCACATTTTTTAATTTATTTATTAGAGACAGTCTCATTCTTGTTGCCCTGGCTAGAGTGCCATGGCGTCAGCCTAGCTCACAGCAAACTCCTGGGCTCGTGATCCTCCTGCCTCAGCCTCCCGAGTAGCTGGGACCACAGGCATGTGCCACCATGCCCAGCTAATTTTTTCTATATATTTTTAGGTGGCCAATTAATTTCTTTTTATTTTAAGTACAGACAGGGTCTCACTCTTGCTCAGGCAGTTCTCGAACTCCTGAGCTTAAACAGATCCACCGGCCTCAGCCTCCCAGAGTGCTAGAATTACAGGTGTGAGCCACCATGCCTGGCCATTTTAAAAAAATAAAACTTAAAAAACGATATGGCCAGGCATGGTGGCTCATGCCTGTAATCCTAGCACTCCGGGAGGCAGAGGCAGGTGGATGGTTTAAGCTCAGGAGTTCAAGACCAGCCTGAGTAAGAGCAAGATCCCGTCTCTACTAAAAAAATAGAAATTATCTGGACAACTACAAATATATATATATATGTAAAATTAGCCAGGCATGGTGGCGCATGCCTGTAGTCCTAGCTACTCGGGAGGCTGAGGCAGAGGGATCGCTTGAGCCCAGGAGTCTGAGGTTGTTGTGAGCTAGGCTGACGCCATGGCACTGTAGTAGTCCAGGCAACAAAGTGAGACTTCATCTCAAAAAAAGAAAAAAATAGTATGATCCCTTTGTCAGTCCCAATTAGTAACCTATCCTACAGAAACATTACTATACCAAAGATATATGTTTAAGGATGTACTTTGCAACAGCAATGCAATAGCAAACCTGGAAACAAATGCTGGTGAACACGTTAAATCATAGGGCAGCAATACAACAGAATACTAGCAAAACTAATTAAAAAGAATGAGGTAGCACAGAAAGATGTCCCTAATTATGTAGTCCAAAACCAAAAAAAAAACCCTGAGAAACATACTGAGAATGGTTGAATGTGTGTACACATACATATGTACATAATAAAGTATGGCATATTTATTACACAAGTAAAAGTCCAAAAGAATATCAAACTGTTCAAAGTAGTTATCCCTGGGAAGTGAAATTCCAGATGATTAGGAATTTAGGTGGATTCCTATCACCTGACTTTATAAACCGTGCATACACAAATGCACCATGCACACAGTGTGTATGTAAGCATGATTTATAATTAAAAACAAAAGGCAAACATTTTCCTAGCTTTTTTTTCCCTGGGGATGAGCATGTAAGTAAATCTCATTTTCTATATCACTAATTTTATTAATGTGCTTATATTACTCTGCTTTTCAAAACCTTTCTTGTACTTACACCTGTAAAGAGCAATTCCTCTCGTTGAACTTGATAAGAAGCACTTTAAAGGAACCAAGTGTTCTTCAGTGAGGTTTCAAGTGAGCATCTTCACTCCTACAACACTGTGCATATTTCTAAAGTCACTGATGAGAATTCTTTTTGAGGCCAAGGACCTCTCTGTTGCTCAAGCTGGTCTCAAACTCCTGGGCTCAAATCCTCCTTCAGCCTCCCAAGTAGCTGGAATTACAAGCACATGTCACTGCACCTAGCCTTGCCTCTTTATTAAATAGACTAATGTTCCCTTGACACCAAGATCCTTCTGGCTCTTGGTAATGCACTCAGGGTGTGTCTTAAGGCGCGCTGATCTGTTAAAACTGAGATGACCTACCCCCACATCTTCAAGAACATTATTAGCCACTGACTTCCTTGTACTTGATTTCTGGGCAACTTGGAAGCCCATTTTCAAAAAGCACTCCATGCTAATTTAGGAAGGAGCCTTATGATGCCAGTCATCAAACTAAGGTCTTCAGACACTACTCAAGGGTTTTCTTTCCTTACACCAAGGCCACTCTGGCCTCATTGAGCGTTAGTCACGCAAAAACTAGCAAACCAACAGGAAGTGACTAGCAGCCTGGTGGTTGGGTTTCTTGGGGTAATGTTCTTGACCTATGTGCTCACTTGCCTGCGTGAGTCACAGAAATTGTTTATCATACATTAGAAGCATTTATGTGAACATGAAGTAAAAACTCAACAGACTTGCAAATTATTTCTCAGACTTACTGATCCCTAAAGCTATGACTGGTTTGAACCTGTTCACTTTTACCTGCTTTACATCACAGAATTATTCTAGAGCACAGGTTATTCATGGATCTCCTAAATCTTAAGGGATCTGGGTAGGGAGTGGTTTCACTCTTTGGGAAAAACAATTCCTACTTTCAAGTCCTTTACAGGACTGGATTTGAGGTGTTCACCACCTGGCTCAAACCAGCTTCCCTGCAACTCCCACCTTTGGTTCCAGTTAATAGCATTTAATTCCTTACCAGTACCATCTGATTCGGCAGACGCCACTGAACACTTGTGCACATTAAGACCAGATACCAAATGTTTTACTCACCAATTAAGTTATGTAAGAACCCTTTATCTATGGCCACCACTTAAAATTGGAAGTGTCAAATTCATTTTGACAGGTTAATTTCAACATTAACATTTCCAGAAACAGTTTTCATCCCTTAATTACTATACTACATGCTTGGCTACTACACTTTTAATACGTTACCTGCCACATCCTTTTTAACACACTGCTGTGCTAGGAGAAAAAAAAATTTAGGGCCAGTGTTTCATTATGAAAAAACAAAAACTTTGAAAACAAAATGACTCTAATGAAGTTAATGTATACTAAAATCTAACCAAATGACTTTCTACACAGCTCAGTGTATATTTATATAGAGCTATGTATTAAAGCCAATTCTTCTGTAGACCCATTCCCATCACTCCCACCTTTTTAATACCTTTCTGCTATTGCAGAAACTTTCCCATTCTCAGTTACCTGACACCACCCCCAAACCATTTTTAAAATCGATAGCTTACAGGTATATATCCACATATGAAAAATGCTTTCACCTCTGAATAACCTGGTTTTTATTTGCACCCACCTGCTACAGTTCTATATAAAGGCCACCTTTCCCCAACATCTCTCCCTCAATAGTCACCATGAATATTTAGAAAACCCAAAAACTCTGATCCCTCCCACACACCCCAATGTAATTCAAAAGAACCTAAACTTTAAGAAAAACAAAAATCACACTATTTGGGAATGCAACAACTTTATTGAAAGAAAAGTGCAATGAAATTTGTTGAAAGCTTAAACTTAGACACCTCCCCTCAAGCGCAGGACCAAGTGCAGGGTGGACTCTTTCTGGATGTTGTAGTCAGAGAGGGTGCGTCCATCTTCCAGCTGCTTCCCGGCAAAGATCAGCCTCTGCTGATCAGGAGGGATGCCTTCCTTGTCTTGGATCTTTGCCTTGACATTCTCAATGGTGTCGCTGGGCTCCACCTCGAGGGTGATGGTCTTGCCGGTCAGGGTCTTCACAAAGATCTGCATTGTCTGTTAGAACAAAAAGAAGAAACACCAAGGGAGTTTAGCAATTCACTACCATTCCTAATGTTGACAGTTAAATGTCATTTTATACTGGCCCAAGCATAGAAAATAAAAAACTTGCCTAAGAAATTTCACTGAACACACAGGTCACACCTGTCCACTTAGTTGGCAAAGCTCAGGAACCTGCCCAAAGCAAACCCAGGGGCCCCACTTATCCCCGCCTCACCAGCTGTCTGGCCCCTGTCCACTAAGGTCTACTCCAGGCACACACCCTGTGTCCTGCGACTGAGAAAAATCTACTACAAGCCAACCGGCAGGTGGCCCCACCCTGCATTATGAGCCAACACAGGAGCTGACGTCACGTGAGTGTCATGGCGAGCTGCGCCGCCCCCCCCCAGCGGGTGCCGAGCAGCACCGCCATAGCTACCGCCTCATCAACAGAAAGAAAAAAAAAAAAAAAAAACGAGTTTTCCAGTCAAGCGGCAGAAACGAGCGCTTCGCGTCAGAGTCCCCAACAGTTCCCGACCCCCGTAAAACAAAACTCCGTCACCTCCCGCCTTCGTTAAGGCCTCAGGGCCTCCCCGGGTCGTCCTCCCACCCACCATTCCCGTCTCTCTGACCGCACAGGCCTCCTCACAGCCAGGCGTCTTCCAAGTCCGGCTCGGAAACAGCTGCCATTTTCCTGCCTCCCTCCCCCTCAGGGCCACCCTGGTCGCGGCCCGGCAGACTAAGAGCCCCGGCGGCCGTTCCGCCCGCGGCGGGCCGACGAGCCGCCCACCTCCCGCGCGGCCGGAGAACCGCTGGGCCCCGGGCCGGCCGGCAGCGCTCCACTCACCACGGCGCGACAGCAGCAGCTAACACCACAGGACACTAACTCCGCTCCCGGCCTCGACGGAACTAGCTGCGCCACACCCGGCGCTTCCTTATATAGGTCATCGGCGACCGCCGCCCCGGAAAGATCCCTCCGCAGAAACGCCGAGAACGGACTACTTTTTTCCTCACCTTCCGGTCTCTGTAAAGAAAATTAGTGCCCGGAGTCATCCAGTTCCCCTCCTAACGTGTTCTCCTGTGGAGACTGTGGGTTCGGGGCTGAGTACGGTGGGATCTGGGCCGCCGCCCTGAGAGGCCTGGCGGAGGGATCAGCGCGCTCGATGCGCGCGGCGACTCCTGACGTGGCCGGCGCTCGCCCTGGGGGAGGGGAGCCGGCTGCGGGGAGGCGGGAAAACCCGGCGCGGATTCTTGCGGCGCCCGGAGCGGGCGGGTGGCCCGCGTCCCTCAGCCCCGGCGCCCCGGCCCCCTCGGCCCCAACGGTCACCGCACGACGCGAGGCCCGCCCTTGACGGACGAGGGGCTCGGGCCGAGCGCCGCCCGCGGGGTCGGGGTCCCGCGCCCTCGCGCGCTCCCTGCCCGGCCCAGCCCGCGCGGCTGACGGGGCTTTATTAGGGTCTCGCTGGGGATAATGACGGTGTTTTTGTTTCGCCAGGGTCCCCTCCCGCCGCCCCGGCCCGTGACGGGGGCTCCCCGTGTCCCCAGCGCCCGCTCACTCGGGGCGGCCCGGCCCATCCCCCGCCGAGCGGGCGCCGGGACAGGGGCCGTGACTCGGCAGATCTGGGCCAGGGACGCAGGCCCAGGCCTGGGGCCCCGGGGACAAGCCGGTGGGCCCCAAACCTGTGACCTGAAGATCAGTTTCCCGCGGGGAAGCGGCCCTGGTGTGTTCAGGTGGGATTTGGGACAGAAAGGTGAAAAAAAACATACGTTTTAAAACTGTTGCAGCTGCGAGATGGAGGCTGCCCGAGCTAGATTTTTCCAGGCTGTTCTCTATCCTTCCTGGGTATTCCGGAAGGCCTTGGGCGCGAGGAGGTCCCCCCAGGTGTCAACAAGGAGGCATCATCGGAATTTCAGTTGTGTTCGTGTTTAATTCACTCAGAAATTGAACCCACTGAAGCCTGAGATTTTAAAAGACATGAATGTCAGCCCTGAGTATTTCTGAGGAGAAAAACATGTAAATATGTCAAACATGAAATGTAGCGCTACAGGCACATTCCATTCTGATAAAAGAGGGAGGAGGAAAAGCCTCACCAGCCAGATTTTTTTACTTTTACCACAACCCATTTTGTGATCCCTGTGTGTCATTTCTAAGTGTTTTAAAATATAGGAATACGGTGAAATTTTGAAGCAGGTTTTTTAAAGTTTACAGTGAAATGTCTCCCCCGTGCCCTCAATTTCCCAGCCAACATTCCTTCTGGACTCTTCTAGAACGACTGTTTCTACAAATGTGGGGGTGGGGGAGATTACTTTGATTTCTATCCTTAAAGCCTTAAAAAAAAAAAAAAAAAGGCTACTAACTGAAAAATGTGCCATGAGGTAAAGGCTACATTCTTTTAAATTATGAACAGTATATTATTTAAACAGTATGCTTAAAATATGAATCAAACGTGCTACTTATTTTCTTTGGTAACCTATCTTTGTATGTATTATGAAAATACAAGTTCTGAGCCTTTTTCAAAATAGACTTTAACCTCTGTAATTGTTAACATTTTGCAAAGAGAATGAAGTCATGTGTTACTGGGAAATGAGTAATAAAAGACACGAATTGAATCTCAGCCCTGTATATTTCTGGGGAAAAAAAATTTAAATGTCAAATATGAAATTGTATTTCTACAGGCAAATTCCATTTTGATAAAAGAGGGAGGGAGAGGCCGGGCGGCCGGGTGGCTCATGCCTGTAATCCTAGCACTCTGGGAGGCAGAGGCGGGCTCGAGGTCAGGAGTTCAAAACCAGCCTGAGCAAGAACAAGACCCCCTATCTCTACTATAAATAGAAATTAATTGGCCAACTAATATATATAGAAAAACTAGCCGGCATGGTGGCACATGCTGTAGTCCAGCTACTCGGGAGGCTGAGGCAACAGGATTGCTTGAGCCCAGGAGTTTGAGGTTGCTGTGAGCTAGGCTGATGCCACGGCACTCACTCTAGCCTGGGCAACAGAGTGAGACTCTGTCTCAAAAAAAAAAAAGAGGGAGAGGAAAAAGGCTCACCAGCCAATGTGTTTATTTTTACCCCAACCTAATTATATAAAATGTCATTTTCCAGGATTAGCAGGAGACCCGAGTGATTCCCAAAACAGATTTCTGCAAAGGTTATTTCTACAATTTCTACATTTCAGGAAGGAGTTTTTAAAGGAACAAAAAGCCAAGGTTCTTTCTAAGGTGACCAGGCCTGGCTTCAAACCACATCGTGTTTTTGCTGCTTTGCTGCAAGCCTTGTGATTCATGTTGTTTAAAGGCTGAGTCACCAGCTTTGTGACATGGCTTTTTTCAAAGTCTAAAAAGGTACAGAGAAAAACAGCCCTGTGATTACAGGGGCGGGTTGGGAAGCCAGGAGAAGAGGAGGAAGGAGGAAGATGAAGGGCTGGGGAGTGGGGTGGGGGAATGGGCCAAGGTTTAGCTCAAAAGGGAAACTGATGTCTCTAGCAGAAAAAATTCTCAGAAACCCCCCAAGCATTCCCTAACTTAAGTCCACCAGTGGGTTGTTGTTGAAGGAAACATTTCCCCCCCAGAGCAATGAGATCAGAGGGAGGGGAGGAAAAAATGGCCTCCTAAAAGAGAGGTGGCATATGTCTCTAGAAGGGTGTAATTTGCCCTTCAGGGGACATTTGGCATTTTTGGTTGTCACATCTGTGAGGGGGCGGCAGGTATGGGTGCTACTGCTAGCACCCAGGGGTAGATGCCAGGGTGCTGGGCTAAACATTCTGTGGGTGTCCCCACTACAAAGACTCATGCAGCCCAAAATGTCAGCGATGCAAGTTGAGAAACCCTGCCCTACAGAAGACGTCTGTTGCTGTTACAGCTGCTGTTCTATTCTCTCAAGAGGGCTCCCAAGGCCTCGGTGTCCCTTAGTGCCCCACTTGGACTCATGAGTCAGGTATCAAGTCACGCTCCTGGAACCTAAACCCTCCTGACCTGGAACAGGTTGTGCTAGAATGTGCGAGAAGCCGGGATGAGTCATTGGATCCATTTTCAGTTCGTTCCACCCACAGATCCGTCCTTTGCAGGCGCCCCAGAGAAGATTGCTTCAGAGCTGGCACCAATGGCAAAGGGACAGAGGCCCAGCAACAGGGCGGGATTGGCAGGCAGGCGGGAGCACGTGACGGGCTGAGCTCACAAAGGGCCTGGGTGTGGGGCTGCGGGTGGGGGTGGGTCGTGCCGGCCTGTCTGCCTGCTTTTCTTGCTTCCCTCAAAGAATTCCATTCCCCAAGGTCACAACCTTGTATGGGACTTAATCCTACACTGACAAGCTGTCTGAGTGCACAAGGGTCAGCAAACTTGTTCCACCCAAGAGAAAGCGTGAAATCAGAGGCCCGGGTGGGAAAGCTCTGCCTTGCTTTGTCATGGCTTATATAACCATAAAAGGTGGTCAAGGGTATCTGCAGGTTAGAGGCCTCGCAAACAGGAAAAAAAATAAACCCAAGGGATTTTGTTCTTTTTCCTGTTTACCTATGTGCTTCTGAATTGTGTGGCAGAACACAAACTGCTCCATCTTAAAAATAACCCATTCACCCACACCTGTCAAAATCAGACTTAAGGTCTAGTCTCCAAATTTGCCTGCTTTAGGAATATTAGAAAGTTATTTAAGGTATTTGGGCTTTGTTTTTGTCATTGTTTGTTTGGCTTTGTTTTTAAATTGTAGTAAAATGCACATAACATAAAACTTGCCATTTTTAAGTGTACAGTTCAGTAGTGTTAAGTACATTCACACTATGCGACTGTCACCACCATCCATCTCCAGAACTGTGCTCATCCTGTGCAAAGGGAACTCTGTCCCCAGTGATCAACTCCCCGTTCTTCTTCCCCAAGGCCCTGGCACCCACCATCCTTCTCCCTGTCTCTGTGAATGTGACTACTCCAGCAACCTCATATAATGGCTTTGATTGATTATTATTTTTATCTTTTAAATTTTCTTTTGGAGCTAGAGTCTTGCTCTGTTGCCCGGGGTAGAGTGCCGTGGCGTCAGCCTAGCTGCACAGCAACCTCGAAACTCCTGGGCTCACAGCCGATCCTCCTGCCTCACCTCCTGAGATAGCTGGGACTACAGGCATGTCGCTACTGTCCCAGTCTAATTTTTCTATATACCTTTTTAGTTGGCCCAATAACTGTCTTCTATTTTTAAGTAGAGACGGGGTCTCGTTCTTGCCCTCATGCTGGGTCTCAAACTCCTGACCTTGATGACCCGATCGCCTTGGCCTCTCCAGCCAGATGCTAGGATGTACACGGCACTGGAGCCACCATCGCCACCAGCCTGACCGCCTGGTTTTACACATTTCAGAGGAGGCCCCAGCGAACTTATCAGGTAAATCATAAGTCAATACATAGAAGACATATTAGTTTGGCCTGAAAAAGTTGGCGACTCTCTCTCAAAGTAGGGTTTGGGGGTGGGGCAGGTTTGGTGGCTACACTCTGTACCATCCTCCTTCTCTCACGAGGCCGAGGTAGTAGGGACTAGCTCAAGCTCAGGAGTTTGAGACCAGCCTGAGGAAGAGCAAAACACCAACTCTACAAAAAAAAAAAAAAAAAGCGGGGTTGGGGGGTTATAGGTTGCAGGTTGCGCTTGCAGGTTATAGGTGGGTTTAAATTTAAAGACACTTTGACTTGTAATTGGTTAAAGACCTGAGCTTCTGTCGGGCGTGGGCTCACGGCCTGTCATCCTAGCACTCTGGGAGGGCCGACGGCGGGCCGGATTGCTCAAGGTCAGGAGTTCGAACACCAGCCTGAGCAAGAGCGAGACCTTGTCTCTACTAGAAATAGGAAAGAAATTAATTGGCCAACTAACATATATATATATAAAAAAAAATGAAGCCGGGCATGGTGGCGCATGCCTGTAGTCCCAGCTACTCGGGAGGCTGAGGCAGCAGGATCAGCAGGATTGCTTGAGCCCAGGAGTTTGGAGTGGCTGTGAGGCTAGGCTGATGCCCATGGCACTCACTCTAGCCTGGGCAACAAAGTGAGACTCAAATAAATAAATAAATAAATAAAGGCTTGGGACCTTTTAAGATAGGGAAGTCAGTTAATCAGAGACCAGCAGGGGACATATATGTGTAAATTGAGGACCTGCAGGTGTGTCTTGCTCTAGCTTAGGCCCATCAATGCGTTACAGAGGATATCTGTAAGAAGGGAGGGGGGCATCATGAGGCCTGTCTGACCTCCACCTTCTTGGCAGTCAATTCAGTTTTAGGGTATCCCCTTGGCCAGGAGGGGCTCCATTCAGTCAGCCGGTTGGGGGGGAAGCCTTAAGATTTTATTTTGTTTACAGCAGTATTAGAAATAGTTAATTGTAACATACAAAGTAAAACGGAAGTATATAATTAGTTCCTTGTTAGGCCTGATCACTTTAGAAATCATCTTCAACATTCAAGAAAAAACCTTGTTGACATTTAGGGAGAAATAACCTTCACCAAAGCTCACTAGAACAGGAACTGTCACCACTGTGTGTCACCATGTCACTGGTGAGTCACTTCACAAATTTTAGTTCCCTCATCTCACATATGAAAACTTTGCGAAGACCTCCCTTTGACCAGTACAGCGGTCCCCAACCTTCCTGGCACCAGGGATTGTTTCCATGGAAGACAAATTTTCCAGGGACGGGGATGGGGTGGGGGTGGGGTTTCAGGATGATTCAAGCACATTGCATTTATTGTGGTGCACTTTGTTTCTATGATTACCTTGTAACATATGATGAAGTAATTATACAACTTGCCATAGGTCGGGACTCCTGCTCTGACACACGAAGTCGAGTGAATGGGACAGGAGCTGGCAGCGAGGGATGCATCGTGGCTACAGACAAGGAGCCCTAACCACGGAATGCAGGAATGCAGCCGGGTCCCTGCTGTCTATAAGAGCTCGTCTTTTATTTGCAATGACAAAATACAGAAACAGGGCACGAATATAAATGCAAACAGAATGTGCATTAAAGCCACTGACTTCATTCTGTGCCTTTGTGACATGTTACTGATGAAGCAGAGGCCAAGCCCGGTGTGGGGAGGCCAGTTTGCTTTTGGGGTGCTCCCTCTGCAGGCGGCGTGTTGCCTGCAGCACAGAGGAAGGGAGCCGACAAGCAGAGGGGCCCAGCCCTGCGGGTGACTCACACGCTTGCACGCTGATGGCCAGGAATGAATCAACAGTCCTCCAGACCGGTTTATCATGTCACAACAAAACGCCAGCAAACATGTAGTAGTAAACTCCCGAAAGGATCATTCTGTTCACTTTTGCTGTGGTTTCCATGGAGTCAGGTTTTGCCTTTTACATTTGTTCTTCTGTTACTATTACTGGCGATTTAATACTAGAGAACCATGAACAAAAAGAGTAAAATGGAAGTGGAGATGCCGGGGATCGAACCCGGGGCCTCATACATGCAAAGCATGCGCTCTACCACTGAGCTACATCCCCCTCCCCTTTTGGTAGCTTTCTTGAAAATCTCTGTTATAATGTATTCTTAAAGATTGTTTTTTTTCTTTTTGTGTTTACATGTGCTTTATTTATGTTTTTGGGTTTTATTTTTTTTCAATTGAGTGGTTGTACATAATTTATGGGGTATAATGTAATTTTTTGATACATACAATGTGTAATGTTCAAATCAGGGTAATTGGCATATTCTTCACTCAAACATTGATCATTTTCTTGTGGTGAGAATGTTCAAAATCTGCTTTTCTGGCTGTTTGAAAATAGACAATAAGTTGTTGAGTATAGTTGCCTTATAGTGCTATAGAACACTAGAACTTAATCCTCCTGTTTAGCCAACTTCACCAGCCCGTGGCTATACTGCCCCCACTATTCTACACTCTGCGTCTATGAGGTCAACCTTTTTAGCTTCCATATATGACTGAGGCCATGCAGTATTTATCTTTTTTTGCTTAGCCTATTTCACTTAACATGTCCTCCAAACTCCTCCATGTTGCCTGGAATGGCAGGATTTCATCCTTTCTTCGTGGCCGAATTGTATTCCATTGTGTACACAGACCACTTTTTCTTTATCCCTTCATTTGTTGGTGGACATGTAGCTGGATTCTATATCTCCCCCACTGTGAATAGCGCTGCAATGAACACTGGGACATTGGGTGCAAAAAGGGTTTTTCTTTTCTAATTTAAAATTTTGTTGCACATGTCCTGAACATTGAAAAAAAAAAGAAAGTAAAAACATAAATTTCTCGGTGAACAATCCTTCTTAAAAAAAAATAATAATAGATAAAAATAATTTTTTGTGGTTTTAAACGGTTTTTGGATTTAGCAAAAAGAAATCAAAATAAATTGTTTGGCCGGGCCACAGTTGGCTTCACGCTTTTAATCTTAGGCAAACTCTGGGGAGGCTGAAGTTACGGATGGCTCTAGATCAGAGTTCGAGGACGCCTGAGCAAAAGCGGTCCTGGTCTTTACTGGAAATAATTAATTGGCCAAATAATATATAGAAAAAAAATTACCAAGGCTGTGGGAAGTGGCCTGTTTAGTCCAGCTTACTCGTGAGGCTGAAGCAGGGGAGGATCGCTTGAAGCCCGGAGTCTGAGTTGCTGTTGAAGCTAGGATGATTCCACACAAACTCTAGCCGGAACAGAAGTGAAGCTCTGTTTTCTCAAAAAAACAAAAAACAAAAAAACGTTTATGTTCCCCAAGTTAAGGCCAACTTCTTTCTAGCCTGGCAGCTAATTCAACAAAACTGGCACCAGAAAACAAGGGCAAAACGAAAAGAGTTCATTTTTTGGAGCAATTGTCCAGAGACGAAGAAGGACGTGAAGGAAAATTCAGGAGGTTTTCTTTGCTTAAATAAGGGGGCAACCCGGCTCAGTTTGTGGCCTTGGCCAGAAAACTTTCTGCCGTCTCACCCTTAAAATAAACCCCATCCCTGCCTTCACGTTGGACTTTTGAGGTTTGCCCAACACCAGTTGAAGGACTTTTTTTTTTTTTTTCTTCCCCCAAGAACTCTTTTCTGGGGAAATAAAAATGAGAAACTAACAGAACAAAGATGGCAGGCCCGGAAATCAAGGGCTTCACCTCAGAAATGTGGCTTTTCCGATGCGGGCGGGCAAGAGGGGCCCGCCTGAACTGTGAAAAGTTAGAACCTCCCAAACCCGCAGCTGCTCCTTTTTTTTTTTTTTTTTTTTTTTTTTGGAGACAGGTATCTTCATTTTGCCCAGGCTAGAGTTAAGGTGGCCGTGGTTGTCAAGCCTAGCCTTCAACAGGGCAAACCTCAAAAAACTCCTTGGGGCTCCGAGTTTGATCTTCTGGGCTCCAGGGGCTTCCCGGGTAAGGCTGCTAAAAGGGGCATGGGGCACCATGGCCCCGGCTAATTTTTAGTATTTATATATCAGTTGGCCCCAATTTAAATTTCTTTTATTATAGGTAGGAGACGGGGGTCTTCCGCCTCTTGCTTCAGCTGGTTTTTGAAATTCCTGACCTTTGAGCAATCCGCCCGGGGCTCGGGGCCTCCCAAGAAGCTAGGATTTGAACAGGCTGGAGGCCACGGGCGCCCCGGCCCCAGGGCGTGGCTCCCCTTAAGCAACCACCTGGGGACCAACAAAGGCCCACCAGGGGTTAGGTGGCCTTCGGTCATTCGAGGGCCATTCGGGTGCAGCAGGATTGGGTTGAGAGGGGGCAGGGGAAATGAGCGGGAACACCCTTTCTGCCTCCACCCTTGGCTGTTCTCCCCTGTGGTGGGACGCCGGCTCAGAAACCGTCCGGCTCCTGGCTCCCCATCCGGCCTTACAGGGGCCCCGCGGGAAGCTGAGAAACTTTTGCGGCAGCAGGAGGGCGGCCTTGTCGGAGTCGGTACCGGCAAGGAACTTCTGGACCCACGCGGCCGCGGGCATATTTGGTTGTGGTTCGGGACCAAGCAAGAGATGGCCCCCAGGTCAGCAAGTGCCCCTGCTTTTGCCCAGTGGCCCAGCTTGCAGGGCAGCCAGAGTTGCTCGAATCAGAACAAACTTGCTTTGTTTCTTTCTTCTGCACAAAAAAAATCTTTTTTTTTTTTGAGACAGAGTCTTCGCTTGTTTGCAGGCTAAATGGAGTGCTGTGGCGTCGCCTGGTCACAGGCAAACTCAAAACTCTTGGGCTCAAGCGATCTCTTGCTTCAAGCCTTCCCGAAGTAGCTGGGACTACAGGCACGAGCCACCATGCCTGGCTGATTTATATATATATATATTAGTTGGCCAATTAATTTCTTTCTATTTTTTTTATGGTAGAGACGGGGAGTCTCGCTCAGGCTGGCTTTGAACTCCTGACCTTGAGCAATCCGCCCACCTCGGCCTCCCAGAGTGCTAGGATTACAGGCGTGAGCGCCCGGCTCTGCACAAAACTCTTAAAATCGAACCCATACTCCCTACCCTGCATACCCCTTCAAGGCACCACGTGATCTGGCCTCTGATGACAGCTCTGACTTCATTTCCTTCTCCTCCTCCTCCTTTCCCTCTCTCTTGGGACACCCAAGACACACCACCTGCTGCCCACCCCAGGGCCTTTGCACTTGCTGCTCCCTCTGCCTGCAGTGCTGCACCCGGCTCTTCTCATTGTCCAGGTCCTGGCTCAAATGTCCCCTCCTCAGAGAGGCCTTCCCGACCAAACTCTCTCTTTAGAGGGCCTGTGAATCCCACCCATTCCCTACCACATGCCCCTGGATTGGTTTGTTTTTCTTCGAGACATTGACCTGTTTTATACTCTTTCTTCATTGTCTGTGTCCCTAACTGGGTCGTCATCTAAACCCCACCGCAGGACCTGGTCTATCCTGTGTCCTGCTGCACCCAGTGCCTGGAACAGTGCCTGGCACAGAATAGGTGCTCAGTAAGCGTGTAAAGTGAATGCGAAAAGAGATACACGAATAGGTGGATAAAAGAATAGGAGTCTGGGAAGGGTGGTGGCTGTCTTCTGGAAGGTGAGTCTGCAAGCAAATCAGGACAAGGAAAGGTCTCCAGTCCATTAACGTTTTCTGTAGGCCAAGCTCAGGGCTGGGGCCAGACAGGTGACATATTGGAGGAAGAATGAGCAGTCGGCACTCTGATTCTGAGAAAGCATTCTGTAAACTAAACAATTTGTAGCAGAGATGCAAGAGACGTTTTAACACTTCAGGGTAAGAACAGAGCCTTTCTTCTCTTCTTACCCTATGGCTAACCCTTGGGGACCCAGACAGTGACAGGGACCACATCCACAGAAAAGCCACCGGAAATGGAATCTCTCCTGCCTGCGGGGTTTATTTTTCCAGGGAAGAGTAAGGACTGGCTATGAAAGCTGAAGAATTTAATTTGTTGGGAAGACAAATGGAAAAAAATGCGGGAACATGGTAAAAAGCCATCAGCCTCCCCGTCGGGGAATCGAACCCCGGTCTCCCGCGTGACAGGCGGGGATACTCACCACTATACTAACGAGGACTGGCGCTGGCACCGCACCTTCAGGTGACTTCCTTAAAGTGTATGTAGCTCCCCCCAAGCAACAATGCTCCAAAAGAATTTAGTATTTTCCCACAAAACACCAAGTCCCATTTGACTTAACACCATTTTAAAGTGTCTGCTTCCAGCTCGGTCCTTGAGGGGCCGGAGAACAGAAATTAATACGCGGAAGGCAAACATGAACGAACAGACATCAGCAAACACGCAGCGGAGATGAATGAGCATTTAAGAAACTGGAAACGGTGTAGCCAGGAAAACCTTGACCTTGTCTGTTTCACCCACCCGGGGATTTGCGGGGAAGGTTCCCTCCCCTTCTGGGCCCCGGCGGATACTGCTCGGGGCTCCTTTAAATTTACAAAGTGAAACAAAACCTTTGCTAAGTGGAAAGAATCAGCTTCTCCTGTTCTCTGAGAGGGAAAAGGGGAGCTGCCGAAACCCGGGATCGAACCAGGGACCTTTAGATCTTCAGTCTAACGCTCTCCCAACTGAGCTATTTCGGCGGCCGCTGCCCACACGCCGCACTTCTGTCCTCCTAGTCGTTTCAATGGTCCCAGGTCTTCTCCCAGCTTGGATCTGACGCCGGAAATGCGGACCCAGGAGAAACCCTGCTCTGCTCGCCCAGCGCCTGTGTGCTACGGCCCCTGCTCGTCCTTCAAGCCCACCACCCCCGCCGAGAAGCCTTCCCTGACTGCGCCTCCCCACGGGACCCGGCCCCTCTCGCACACTGCTTGCTTATTGATCGCTTTCCGTGCCCGCGATCTGTCTCCCAGACGGCATGACGGACCCAAGAGGGGCATGTAGGCAACCTGCCTGGGTCACTGCGGG